TGTACTCTTTGGAGACCCCATTAGTAGCCTCCACAAACACACGACTGAAAAAAGAATCCGTTGGGTACAAGCCTGCTAACGCGGAGAAACCAGTGACGGATGTGTGCATGATCGAGAGGACACTATGGCGACGACTTAAAGCATCAGCTATACGATTTGATTTACCAGCCTGGTCACGAATTGAGAACGTGAATTGCTGAAGATATACGATCCAAGAAGCATGACGAGAAGAAACTTTAGCTTGACTATCAAGATGGTGCAAAGCATCATGATCCGTAAACAAAATAAATTCTCTATGGACCAAATAGTGACGCCAATGCTTAATAGCTTGAATGATCGCATAAAATTCCACATCATAGGTGCTATAACGAGATCTTGCGCCGACTAATTTCTCGCTATAGTAAGCGATAGGGCGTCCCCATTGACTAAGCACATCGCCAATGCCCAACTTACAAGCATCACAATGTAATTCAAAGGTCTCAGAAAAGTCAGGTAAGACGAGGATTGGAGCCGTGGTGAGTTTTGTTTTGATTAGCTCAAATGCCACAGTGGCTTCTGGAGTCCAATGAAAACGTCCTTCCTTCATACAACTTGTAATAGGAGCCATAATAGTGCTAAAATGGCTGACAAAGCGGCGATAAAAAAGAAGCTAACCCATGGAAACTGCGGACTTCCGAGACGGTGGTAGGAACGGGCCAAGATCAAACTGCTTCCACCTTTGATTGGTCCATGGCGAGTCCTTGTCCAGAAACAACTTAGCCAAGGAACAAAACCTCGGGTACCCCGAACTCACATTTATGTTTGGCGGCAAAAAGTTGATCCCGACGCAAAACACAAAGAACATCCCGAATGTGAGATAAGTGATCGGCTAAGGAGGAGCTGAAAATCAAAATATCATCAAAGTAGACGACTACAAACTTCCCGATGAAAGGTCGCAGTGACTGATTCATAATACGCATAAAGGTGCTTGGGGCGTTTGATAAGCCAGACGGCATCACGAGCCATTCAAACAAACCCTCGCGAGTTTTAAATTCCGTCTTCCATTCGTCTCCTGGCCTGATTCGAATCTGGTGATAGCCACTCTTAAGATCAATTTTGGAAAATATTGACGCTAAACCAATTTGATCTAAGAGGTCGTCAAGCCGTGGGAATGGGAAACGGTAGTGAACTGTAATTTTATTAATGGCTCTACTATCCACGCACATACGCCACGTTCCGTCCTTTTTAGGAATAAGCAGAGCGGGAACCGCACAAGGCGACAGACTTTCGCGGATATGCCCCTTGCGGAGTAACTCTTGCTTGCGCAGTTCTTCATGTTCATCCGGACTCATTCTGTAATGCGGTATGTTGGGTATAGTTGCGCCAGGTACAAGGTCGATATGATGCTGAATGTCCCGTGATGGAGGCAAAGATGTCGGTAAGTCGGTGGGAAAAACATCCTGAAACTCGTTGAGGACTACATCAATGTCATCATGAAACAGAGAGGTGAGAAGAGGAGTGACGGGTGCTGTGATCAATGCGAATGCCATGCCTGCTTCGTGTAATTCTGATTTAAATGTCTCATAGGTGCAGATCAATGCCTTTTTCGAGGTTAGGGGTACTGGTGTTGGAAGTGTAGAGGCGGGAGTGGGAGCTGATTTTGTTAGCGGTGTGTCCTTAGATGGCAACAGTAAAATCTTGTGCGTGTTCCACGTAAATTGATAAGTGTTAGCAACACCACAATGCATTATCTTTCGGTCATACTCCCACGGTCTGCCGAGTAATAGATGACTGATATCCATAGGAGCAATGACCGGTGTCGCCAGCTGTAGGATGCGCGTCAACGTCGTCTTGATCATCCTCCTCTTGTGAGTCGTATACATCAAGCGCGTCAGTAGACTCGTCCATGATCAAACTGCGACGAGTTGCATGAGGACAGGCTGTTTGGCGGTGTCCATGTCCGCCACAAGAATAACAACGCAAGGCACTTGGATGGGATGATCGTCTGAGTTGTTGTTCTTCTTGTGTTGGCGGTTTTGTTGCAGAATTGGCGGTGTCAACAGGTTCCTTTGTTGACGTTGATGGTGCATTGCTTCCTGTCTGATCTTGAACACGCGTACGAGTGGATTGCGAAGTCCAAGTAGAGGCTCGAGATTGTTGCTCAAAAGCGGAGGCACGTCTATGGGCTTCTCCAATCGTGGATGGATCAAATTGAGCCATCGCGGTTTGAAGCTGTGGTCGTAAACCCCCAATGAAACGAGAGACGAGTTGAACTTGACTGTCGTTGATCTCGTTCCGTATTAATAAGAGAGAAAATTCTTCTGCATAATCATCGACACTACAATTTCCTTGTCGAAGATTCTGGAGCTTATTGTACATTGTACGTTCGTAGTTGTGAGGCAAGAAGGTCTGACGCAAATGTTTTGTGAGTTTATCCCATGATTGAATTGGATTTTTGCCGGTTCGTGAGCGTGTAGTTTTAAGCTGCTTCCACCATGTTGCAGCGCGACCGCGAAATCGCATAGCCACTAGGGGGACACGCTGTTCTGGAGGAACCTGTTTAAACTCAAGTATCTCTTCCACCGAAATCAACCAGTCAAGGAGATCATCGCCACGCAAACCCCCATGGAATTCGGGAATGTCAACGCGGAAACTTTTTTCCCAATTATTGTGATTATGATCACGCCGTTGCAAATCTTGAAGATACACTTGACGATGAAGCTCTTCCTCGTCATCTGAATAAGTTGGTTGTGCTCTCTCGTTGTGTCCAGGATTGCGTTGTCTGTGTCGAAATTGTTGTTGCTGATGTGGGAGCGGTAATGGCGGATGGTGTTGTAATGGAAGTTGCTGATGACCCGGGAGAATAGGGTTGTTGAATTGCGTTTGATTGTTGAGTGGAGGAACTGGGTGTTGAGGTTGTTGTTGATTGTGACCCGTAGCCACTTGTTGGTTTTGGAGATCCAAGCGCGCGAGTACGGTGTTCATGTTATCCAAACGAGTTGTCAATAATTCGCCCAATTGGTTCATCGAGGTCTGCATCGTCGTCTGAAACGAGGTTTGCATCTCGACGAGTAGGGTCTTAACTCATTCATGTCTAGCGAAGTTCATTCTGCGGGTTTCTTTGTCATGATAACAAGAGAAAAATCCCCAAAAACGTTCTGATTCTGATACCAACTGATGGAGAGCGGAAGCTATAAACCTAACTTGTGGGTGAAGTAACGGGATAAGGGCGCGAATACTCTTCGCAATGTTCGGGATAAGGGCGCGAATACTCTTCGCAATGTTCGTTAGAACTCTTTAGGGTTCCGAATACTCTTCGTAGTGTTCGATAAGAACTCTTTAGAAAACTGAAATCTTTATTAATTGAATTATGCTTACAAAAACCATAAGAGAGTTATTTATATAGAACTCTTAAACCGTCATTAAAAATCCTTAACCTAATTAGAAAACAGAACACAAACCTTAAGTAAAAAGGAAATAACTAGAGAAAAGGAAACTTGACGTTTAAGCTACGATGCCGCTGCATCACCAGGTAAACGATGCCGCTGCATCACCTGGTCTAGGGAGCTTGGAGAGGTATAACAAAATAGTGGAGCACTTGAGGGAATCTTATTGCAAATATGGAGAGCTAATTCGATTTATAACCAGTTTATACATATTAATCTCGTATTCTAGGCATCAGATGAATTTCCATCTGAGTTATCTAAATTTAGATATGGAGAGAAATTTGGAGACAGACCTATCATTTGAAGAAGATGATGAATGATAAAATTGCTTGCTCCATGAAGATCTGAATTTTTCATTTAGTGAAGCAATAATAGCTCCACTTGGTGCCTCGATTGATCTTCATAGGAATAGGAGAGTGAGAAGTAACGATATTAATCTCCCAGCTTATGTGCATTTTATTTTGCTGATAATTATGCCAGTTTCCATTATAATTGCACATTATTTTGATGATGACTTTCTTATATATATGTGAATCTGCAGAGGCATAAACGTTTGAAGAAAGTGTTTGTGGTTCTCCATGAAGAATTGAAGGTGAGTTACAACAAAGCTCCCCCTAAAACAACAGTTTTGTTTTTTTTCTTCCTCTGCAATTTTACTTTAGCTGATTTTTTTACAACAATGAACGTTGATTACCTCTTGCAGCAAGTAAAACAAAGAATGAAAGACTATCCATCATCTGACGGATAAGATTGATTGGAGCTGGAACCAAAACTCTCTAGAAAATATGGACCTCATGCTCAGAGGTGAAGAGAAGAAAAGGTTAGATAATGTGCTCCAATGGAGGCAAGTCATATTCTTGTTTCAAGATTAGCTGTTTTTTTCATGTGAAATTAGAAATGATTCATAGGCTCAATTTTGTGTGAGTTGTACCCTAGGGGAGACCTCTCGTAGATTTTATGGGTTATTTGAGTTGGTGATCTTTGGATCTGTCAATTACAGATATGTGTACATTGTTTCAAGATCAATGTAGATTCATCTGTTCTCTTGCTTGATTTGACTTTGCTTATGTTTCTCTTCCTCGCTCGTTTCCTCAATCTTATTCAAGTCACACGAAACCGTTCGAAGTTAGTTTACAACTATTTGGACCGGACACACGAGTCTCTAGTATCAAATCTTAAATTACTTGCAACCGAGTCCATTCGGTTCTTCGTTTTGATTTGAGTGCAGCTATGTTTTAGGATGGACACAACACATTGTCCTCTTCTACATTGATATATCATTACTTCAGTTGCTGATAAAATTTAACGTTACAGATGAATATGGACAAAGATGATTTTGATCTACTTTCAGCATCTTGTTTTGGCAATTCCATAAGAATGTTATTAATGTAACAAAAGAATCTATTATTTATTTTCTGTTGGTCAATACAATATATCAGTATAAGATGTGTGTATGTTTTATGTATAGTGACAGTATTGATTTACATCTTCACATGAAGAGTAAATAGTATAAAATCTAAAGTAAATGAAGAAGCAATTATAGAGAAAAAGAATGTGTGGAAAGTAAGAAAAAAACTAACTAATCATATGATCTGAGTCCCTCCTTTCTTCCTGAATAGAACGGAATATTCTTGCAGCAGATTCAGAGGCAGATGTTGATTTATGAGGAATGGCTTTAATGGCATGATGCAGCGGTTGCTGTTTCTGCTCATACTCATCAGTGTGACGAGTAGGCTCTGTAGGAAAAAGCGGAAGGACATCAAATCTATGCTTCTCTGGTGGACTTGAAGCTGTACTTCCATGGACCTCACTGTCATTAGATTCCTGAGACTTCTTTAAAGAAAATGGAATCGCTTGAGTCATGTGGCTAGATGTGTTAGACCATCTTTTAAGCTGACCAAATGGGTTTGTCTGGTCAAGTGCTGTCCTCGGTGGGAAGTAGTTGTGGCTAAACTGAGTAGAAGCAGGGAATCTGGATGCTGTAGCGAGTGAGTCTTGTCCATAGATTGGAACCATGAAAGCTGAAGGAGGAGGAGGAGATGGTCCTGCGTATGGTTTATAGACCAGACCTTCTGAAGGAGACATTACAGGAACTAACCATTGGTTTCCATGAGGAGGAGGAAGTAGCTGTTGTTGCCAAATTGGTGTCAAGAGCTCTTTGCTTATGAAAGGTAAAGGAAGCTTTGGTTTCATATGCTCTGGATATTCTTCGGTTATAGGTTTGTGATTCTCTGTGTTTGTTTTTTTAGACTTTGAAGCAGCTATATCCAGCAGATGGGATTGGGATGATGACCTCATTGTGCAACGTTTACCACCATTTATATTACTTTTGAGACCCAAGTTTAGTGACTTTGCAACCATTTTCTGAACCTGCATTTTGTTCAGGTTCATGATGAGATCATATGAAAGCTGAAACGCATAGGAAGAATTGAAACAAATATAGTTATAAGCAGCTTACCATTATCAGTCTATGCAGCTCAAAGACTTGCGCCGCAAATATCTTCTGCTGCCTGAAAATATCAGCAAAACAAAAAAAAAGGTCAGAAAGAAGACAAAATATATGAACCTGGAAGCATAGCAAAAGAGAGATTGACATACTTGATCATATAAGTTCTCATCTTCCAGAATCTCTTTTCACCTATCACTCTGGCAACATCAAGAGAAGCTGCACTCATACCAGACAAAGAGTCTACTCCAGAGCAATCTGAGGCATCATGTTCACGCTGAGGCACAGTTTTAGGTTTCTTCTGAGCATCAACGTTAAATTCTTCAGGGGCTCTTCTTCTATATAGTTGAGTTTTCATCACACTAAGAGACTCATTCTTGCTTTCATCTTCCAAACATTCAGGCAAAAGTAACTCTCGAATATGAAGATTGTTCAGGACTGGTTTGGAACCACCAGCTTCTCCGCTGGCTTTGCTGGTACTTAGTGACAAATCTGTGTTTGCTTTTGGATCTGTCTGTGAGCGTCTAAAAACAGGAACCTTAAGAGAATCCAAGTTGGTTAGGTTCTTGAAATAGTACTCATTTTGGTTTATTGAACTATGCTTAGTAACTGATGATCCTCTAGGATTATTTTTATTCACATTCCTTTCAAGCTTTGATGCTGGAGAAATGTTGTAGATTGGTGAAAACTGATTCATTTCAGGTCGATCAGTCTGCTCAAAATGTATTCAACAAGAAGTCATATTAAATGTGGAAAATGTCCATCCTATTTTTGATCAATGCTTCATCTCACCAAGAATACAAAATCAAGAACCTAAAGATTTTAATAAGGTGAGCAAAATAAACTCACCAGATGGGCGTTGTTGGCTAGAGGAGGAAGAGACAGTGAGAGAGTGGAAGGAGATTCAGTGGAATGTTTATATGGAGACATTGTTTTGCCATCAAGTGGCTTAGACAAGCCTCCTCTTGCAGCATCATTGACATGAACCCTTGGGAACAATGGAGGAATTGTTATCCTCTTCGCCTCATCTTTCATTCCTCCCATTTATTCTCTTCTTCTTTTTATATCCCTACGCTCACAATCAAACCCTATTAGTTCCTTCCCACACACGTAACCTCAATAAAGAACGATTAGAGATTAGTTACCTTCTGAAATCAAATTACAAAATACAAATTTCAATATCAAACAATACGTTAGATCGAAAAGACAAGAAACAAATCTTATGACAAGAAGATCAAGAAGAGCAGAAGCAAAAGAAGATATTGTGTGTTGTGTCGCCCCACAATGGATTCCTTACGAGAGGGGACGACAAAACTTCTAATGGTTTGTGTGTGTGTGTGTATGTGTGATGCTGCGGTCATGTCTGGTTCCTTCAAGTAAAGATCCCAAACTCACGGGAACTCGGATATTCAGAGAAACGTGGCGGGTTTTGGTTTGTTAGGTCCGAGTGGTATATGAGAATGGCGTGTGGGAGATGATGTTCGTGTGACTCGGTCCTCTTTACATAATACAGCCACATGTTTTCAATCTCTCTTGTGGCTAACTTAAACTTCATCTTCTCCAAAATATAATCCTAATTTGGGACTATCTTTAGCGAAATATCTGTTTCTGATCGCAATCATTTGACACAAAAGTGGAGAGAAGAAGCGTGTTTGGTCGGAATGTGTGTCTGTTCCCGGTTTAGACTGACCGGGAAGGAAGGTTTTAACGGAAAACCAAAAGCCAGTTCGGTCAGAACGTGTCTATTTCCCGGTTTAGAGGGACCGGAAAGGAATGTTTTAGCAGAAAACCAAAGCGTGTTCGGTCGGAACTGCAATTTATTGTGCACACTATTTCAGCCACGCGTTGAAGCGCGTGAAGGTCAACGTCTCGTGGTTTCTCAAAGTTAACGTGTGTTATAAGTAAGAGTGATTTACATACAAAGCCATTTTTTTGTAGTTTAATTACATAATGGAACACTTTATACTACTTAGAGCAACATTAACCCAAGCTCTTATTTTGGGTTGTTTATTCTTTGTTTAATAATTTGTGGCTGTTAAAGTGGTTTAAGCAACATCGCTAAGCACCCGTACAATTATTAACCTCCAATGCAAGTTGCTTATTTATGGGTTCTTATAAAAAAAAAAAAAAATTAAACATTGTATTTACAATAAATTTTATTTATTATATAAGACATATTAAAAGATTACATTTAAAACATAGAATTTATAATAAAAACATAAAAACAAAGATTAGTAGCATAATCGAACAACATTTAAAAAAAAACCTTCAAGCTCAAGTGTCGGCTTCATCATGTCCAAATTTACGCCATATATGTTGAACTAGATCAGCTTTGAGTTATTCATGCTTTTGTCTATCACGAATTGTAGTTCGAACACCCATCATATTTCCCATATTTGAAGGGATATCTGTAGAATACGTGAGATCAACATGTGAACTTCGGGTGTCTTCCCCTTGTTCGAACTCTGAAACATCATATTGAGTGTATCCATCTCGTTCGTCTTCTACTATCATATTATGGAGTATGATACATGCTCTCATAATCTTTCCAATTTTGACTTTATCCCAAAAAAGTGCCGGATTTTTAACGATGGCAAAGCGAGCTTGCAAGACCCCGAAAGCACGCTCGACATCTTTTCGGACTGCTTCTTGACGTTGAGCAAATAAAACTGCTTACGGGACTTCTGGTATTGGAATAGATTAGATAAAAGTTGCTCATTTCGGATAAATACCATCGGTAAGATAGTAAGCCAAATGACTCTCTTCCATTGACGGAGAAAGTGACTTTTGGAGCTTCACCGTTGATTATGTCATCAAAAACTGGTGAGCGATCAAGATCATTGATATCATTTAAAGTACCTGGAGGTCCAAAAAATGCATGCAATATCCAGAGATCGTATGAAGCAACCGCCTCTAAAACGATTGTTGGTTTGCCCGATCCACGAGAATATTGTCCTTTCCAAGCGGTTGGACAATTCTTCCACTCCCAATGCATACAATCAATGCTTCCTATCATCCCGGAAAATCCACGATACTCTCCAATATCCAGTAGACGTTGAAGATCAGCCGGTGTTGGTTTTCTAAGATACTCATCACCGAACAAATTAATTATTCCCTCCACAAAATGCTCCAAACATGACCTCACTGTCGCTTCAGCGAGCCGGAGGTATTCGTCGACCGTATCAGCCGCACTACCATACGCCAAGATACGAATGGCTGCTGTACACTTTTGGAGTGGTGAGAGACTCTGTCTTCCTAGACCATCAGTCTTATGGCGAAAGAAATCAACTTCGTTGGAGAGCCGATCCACAATGTGCAAGAACAACGTCTTGTTCATTCTAAAACGTCGCCGGAAAACATTTTCGGGATATGTTGGAGTCTCGCTGAAATAATCATTCCATAGACGAACATTGCCTTGTTCACGATGTCTTTCAATATAAGCTCGTTTTTTTCTTTTTTTTCTTCGTTCTTCTTGATCATTTCGATGAATGGTAAAATTTTCAAAAGCTTGATCAAATTTTTGATCAAATTTTTGATCAAACATTTCATCAAATCTTTCATCAAATGATTCATCTAAAGGTTGAGAAGAAGAAGAAGCCATATACTGAACGTTTGATTGAGAGAGTTTGGTTTGACTAAGAGAGGTTGGTTTGATTGAGAGAATTTGCAAACGTTGAGAGTGTTTGGTTGATAGAGAAAGTTTGGTTTAGTTGAGAGTGTTTGGTTGATAGAGAGTTTGGTTGATAGAGAGAGTTTGGTTGATAGAGAGAGTTTGATCATATCGTAACTCTTGCCAAGCATGGAGAAGGGTGAACCTTTTCTTCTGGGTTTTGTCGTAGATGTCTAGGGCTTCTTGGATCACATCATTTTCATTATGTCCACTGGTATTCGCTCTGGTTGCAGCTTCATATGCTCCACAGAATTTGCAAACCGTGTCATTTATCTTATGCCAACGATTCTTACAATGCGCTGCCTCTCTCTTCTCACACCCAGCCTGCTTAGGACTAGCATTGTAATACGCAGCAATTCTTGACCAGAAAGCAAGACCCTTTTGCTCATTCCCAACTATGGGATCTTTGCTCGTGTTTAACCACGAGCTTATGAGCACTACATCGTCAGTGGCGGTCCATGTCCTTCTTTCTTTACGAGCTTCTGTCTCTGCACCAATGTTTGACTCTCCAGGAGCTTGCGAATCAGAGAAGTGAACGTTTGGTTGACTATTAAGTAAGTCAACAAAGTTTGAGGAGTTGTTATATGGATTGAAATCCATTTTTAAAAGTCAGAGAAGAGAAGAATAAACAGATAGGAATCTGTTGTAGTTCAGAGAATAAACAGATAGGAAGAGAAGGCAAGAGTTTTAAAGAAAGGGTTTAGCTCGCATTCAACACTCAAACCAACCAACAACTAACTCGACTTGGACATATATCAACCTTTTATTAATTACCGTATCAAACACAAAGCTAACAATTTATTATCCAAAGCTAACAATTTCTCAACCACTTCTGTTTTAAATCAAAATGAGCCAACAATTTATTATCCACAACAAAATTCATTTATGTCAACCACTTTGAGTTAATTACCGTATCAAACACAAACCTAACTCTATTTTGCAGCTTGGCGTAGGTGAATGCTAAATCAAAATGAGCCATCAATCTATACACCACAACAGAATTCATTTATGTCAACCACTTTTGGTTGTCTAATAAGCAAACTCTACTAAAACTAATCAAAGACATCACCTTATATGTGTAAAATAAAACTAATCAAAGACATCACCTTATCATCAAAACTTCGAACCAGAAAAAGTTTCAAGTACAATCCCAGAAAATACATGCTTTCTTCTCCAATAAACAGATCCAAAGTTTGTTAATCCGTCCCTTACAAAACAAAGATAAATCATTAGACACACACTTAAAACAAAACGCAATCAAAATACCAAAGAAGGTTTCAGCTTAACCTTTCAATATCCTCGAGGAGAACTCCGGGCCGGAGAGAGATAGACGAGGAGGGAGAGAGACCAGGACCGACGAGGAGGGAGACAGACGAGGCCCGACGAGGAGGGAGACAGACGAGGCCCAACGAGGAGAGAGAGAGACGAGGCCCGACGAGGAGGGAGAGAGATGAGGTCCGACGAGGAGGGAGAGAGACGAGGACCAACGAAGAGGGAGAGAGACGAGGAAAGCCGAGGACCGACGATGGTAGTTCCGGAGACGCCTGCTTCCGTCGAGGAGGGATGATCAACACCTAATTTAGTCGATTTCGCGGTGAGAGAACAGGAGATGGAAATGATCGCCACGGGATCGTCGAGAGAGACAGAAGAGGAGGAGAGGCGGAGTCATCGAAGTTGTGTTTGATTTTTCTTGAGAAAGAGAGAGATACACTCTCTGAATGTTTGACACGTGTAGTAAACAACGGTGCTTCTGTCGCTTAATTAAGCCACGTTCTTTGTAATATTAGGCATTTTTCATTTTCTTTTAATTCACAAAACCGATAAGCAACCCTCTTAACCACCTGGTTAATGGTGCTCTTAGGTATTTTGTTAGTGGTTGTTTACCTTGTTAGTGGTAGTTTTTTAATTATAGCGAGTCACGTGGGCTTTCTCTGGGGACTGCTCAGACGACATTACATAATATTTGTTCTTTCTTTTTTTTCTTTTTGTCTCAACATCAACTATTCATTCACCAATAATTTGATACATAGGTTTTGACCACACTGATTTAACCAAACATACATCAATGCATCTTAGCAACACCCTGAAATACTCACTAGGTGATTTCTCACTCGGATCCAGCGCAACCTAGAGTATTGATATACCATGATTTTGACCCACTTTTAGTCATGGTATTGATATGTTTTTATGATAATTATATATGATTTGGAGTCTATTTAGAGTATTTACTGGTTCAGGTACGTCCTGGTGAAATATGGTGATTTTGGTGTCTTTTGGAGCCCTTAAGTGCAGAACTGCGCATACGCGTCAGATGTTTAGATATGGATGGAGACCTTCCCATGGTGAGATTTAGCCCATATTTTGATAGAAGATA